GATTATACTCTCTCCACGGTATGACTGCATATTGTAATATTTAGTATATTTCCTATAATATCCTTGTTTAGGGTTTGTTATTGTTTATATATAGTCTGTATATTATACATAACATTATCATGAATCCAATACAATTTTCCTATTCTAAGTTGGTATCGAGCTAGGTTTAACAAAACCTATTTTTTTTTCTCTCCTCTCTCTTTTCTCTCCCCCGCCGCCGACTCCTTCTTCTTCGGTCGTGCAAACCCCATCCGCTGTAGTCGGCCTCTTTCTTCTGTTCTTAGCCGCCACACACAGGCTCTTTGCCGGCGTGCGCTTTTGTCGTCTTCCTGAGCTGCCGGTGTTTCCGTGCATTGTCGTTGTCGTTCGTCGGAGTTTCCCGCTGCTGCTGTCGGTCTACTGCTGCTGCTGCCGGTCCGTTGTTCCTGGGCTCCCCGCTGTCTTCTGCTGCTGCTGCTCCCTGCTGCTGCCGGTCGGCGTCGTCGTTCCTACTGCTGCCGGTGTTGCTCCCCGCCGTGTGCTGCTGCTGCTGGGCACGTCGTTTAGTTTCCCGCTGCTGCTGCCGGTTCTGTTGTTCCTTTGCTCCCCGCCGTGTGCTGCTGCTTCTCGATTTTGCTTCGCTTCTTTGTTTCCTTTTTTTTTTCTTCTCAGTTGCTGCTACTTTGTGTAAACAAAACATAACCGGGAAACCCAAAAAAAAAAAAAACCACTTGGGCTTTATTACGTCTTGCTTGCTTACCTTCAACGATGACTATCACCGGCCTTCGGTCGGCGGCACCTTCTTCACAGACACCAGTATCATTTCTTCAACCTAGTCTGCCATCTCTCAATCATTCTTTTACTGTGAAGCTGCAATCTCGAGCCAACTATTCATCTTGGCGTCTTCTGTTTTCTCCTTTATTGACGTTTCGTGTTGCCGATATTGTCGACGGCACCGACCCTGCACCGCCACGTTTTCTTCCTTCCGTCAGTGGTGCCGCACCCCAACTCAATCCTGAGTTTGATATCTGGCAGCAAAAGGATCAGCTGGTCCTCTCTTGGATTCTTTCTTCCGTTGCTGAAGACATTTTTCCCGTTCTCCAGGGCTGCACAACGTCGGCGGCTGCATGGACAGCTCTTCAGCAGGGTTTCGGCACTCTTTCTTATGCTCAACAGACCCAGCTTGTTATGCAGCTCCACAGCTTGCAAAAAGGTGACTTGTCGGTCACGGCTCTCCTCTCCAAAGCGAAGGGCATCGCAGATACACTGCAGCTTGCCGGCCATCGCATATCTTCTGCGGAGTTCAATGCCATAATCTTCCACGAGCTTGGTCCCGAATTCAATGGCATCATCGGAGCTCTGCAACAGCGATCCGAACCCCCCTCCTATCAAGATCTCTTTGGACAATTAGTTTCGTATGAGGTGCTTCTTCACGCCCAACAGCCGGTCCTTCAGCCCACGGCCATGCTTGTGCAGTCGCCACCTTCTCCTACGCCGCCTCAATCCTCTCGTGCCGGTCGCTCGCAACGCGGTGGCCGGCGCAATCAGGTTTCTGGCCGTGGTGGTGGTCGGCGTGGGTTCACCCCTCCCGCCCCGGGTGAGACGTGTCAGCTTTGCGGCATCTTGAATCACACGGCCGCCACTTGTCGACGCCGTTTTGATGCTAATTTTGTTCCTCGACCCCCTGCCGTTCGGTCGACTGCTTATGCCCAAGCAGTTTCTCCTGCACCGCCTTCAGCTGGTTTGTTGCCTCTTCCGTCTTACCCGGAGTCGACTATGTCCCCTCAAGCCCATATGGCGCAGTATGCCCCTTCTGTCACTCCCTGGCATCCGGACACTGGTGCTACCGATCATGTCACGCCAGATTTGTCCTCTCTCAGTATCTCCAATGATTATACTGGTACGGATCATATTTTAGTTGGTAATGGAGATGCTTCACCTATTCAGCATGTTGGTCAATCTGTTTTGCCATCGTTTTCTCGTCCTCTTTATTTAAATCGTGTCTTGCATGCTCCTTCTCTTACTAAGCCTCTGTTATCTGTTCAAAAGTTTACCCGTGATAATCACTGTTTCTTTGAATTTTATTCTGACTCTTGTTGTGTTAAGGATCTTTCAACCAAGGAACTCCTCCTCCGCGGTCGGGCTGATAATGGTCTCTATCGCTTAGATCTTCCTGCTCGTGGTTCCTTGTCTCTAGCAGCTTATCTTGTCTCTTTAGGTCAATGGCATGCTTGTTTAGGGCACCCTAATAATATCACTCTTCGTACTTTGGTTAGGCAGTTTCAACTCCCTTATTCCTCTGTGTCCACGTCCACTGATAAATGTGAGGCGTGTTGTTTAGGGAAGTTACATACGGTTAGTTTACCTTCTACTTTTCATCGTAGCTCTAAACCTCTTGATTTAATTCACACTGATGTTTGGGGTCCTGCTCCTATTTTGTCATTCAATGGTTATTGCTACTTTGTGCTTTTTATTGATGACTTCTCTTTATTCACATGGATTTATCCCATTAAGTATAAAAGTGATGTTGTCCATGTTTTCAAGCAATTCAAAGCTCTCGTAGAAAAATAATTTGGCACTACCATTAAAAGTGTTAACTCTTATTGGGGTGGTGAATTTCGTTCTCTCAATTCTTTCTTTAAGGATGTCGGTATTGTTCATCGTTTAGCGCGCCCACACACTCATGAGCAGAATGGCACTGCTGAACGCAAAATTCGTCACATTGTTGACATTGGACTTGCTCTCATTGGCCATTCCAGTACCCCTTTTCGGTTTTGGGATTTTGCTTTTGAAACTGCTGTGTTTTTGATTAATCGCCACCCTAGTAAACCTCTTCAAGGTCACCTACCCTTCACTACACTATATCACCAGCCACCTGATTATACCTTTCTTCGTGTCTTTGGTTGCGCTGTCTATCCTCTTCTTCGCCCTTATAATAAACATAAATTCTCCTTTCGTTCTACTCAGTGTGTCTTTCTTGGGTATTCTCCATCTCATCTTTGTTATCGCTTGGTGAATAACCGTCTTTATGTTGCTCGTCATGTTGAGTTTGATGAGAAACTCTTTCCCTTTAAACGTCCTATTTCTAGTTCTCCTTCTTCGCTGCCGGAGTCTCCTGCTACCCCTTGGTTGCGTGTAACCATTTATCCTGGTATGCTTGCGTCGTCTTCTGCGTCTCCTTCGTCTCCTTTTAGTACACCAGTTCTTTCATCTCCTCCTATCCCTCCTGACTCATCATCTTTAGCTAGGTCTCCTGCATCTAGCTCTTCATCATCTAATTCTAGTCCTCCGCTGCCACCTCCTCCTCCTCCTTCTTCCCGTCAGCACTCAATGACACTTCGTCCACAACCCAAGCCCAAGAAAATCTTTAATCACTCGGCTCATCTTACCTCTGTTTCCCCAGCTTTGTCTACTGCTCCTACATCCTTCACCCAAGCCAAATCCTTTCCTCAGTGGTAGAATGCCATGAAGGATGAAATTTCCGCCCTTCTCAAAAATAACACATGGACTTTAGTTCCCCCTCCTTCCTCCGATAATGTTGTCGGCAATCGATGGCTCTATAAGATTAAGACCCATGCTGATGGCTCCATTGAGCGGTATAAGGCTCGGTTGGTGGCTCGAGGTTTTACTCAGTCTTTTGGGGTTGATTACACTGACACATTTAGTCCGGTTGTTAAGCCGGTCACCGTTTGCTCGGTTTTGACTGTTGCCCTGGCTCGTGGATGGTCGATTTCTCAGCTTGATGTCAGTAATGCCTTTCTTAATGGTGTTCTGAGTGAGACCGTGTATATGGATCAGTCACAGGGGTTTGTTGATCCGGTGTGCCCTCATTATGTGTGTAAACTGCATAAGTCCTTATATGGTCTTAAGCAAGCTCCTCGGGCCTGGTATTCTCGGCTGGCAGCATTTCTGCTTACCTTGGGTTTTGTGGAGTCTCGTTGTGATCCTTCCCTCTTTGTCTATTGTCGTGGGTGTCAGTTGTGTTTTTTGCTGGTCTATGTGGATTACATTATTCTTACAGGCAGCACTTCTGGTTTGGTCCAACATTTTATCTCTTGTCTTGCTAAGGAGTTTTCTCTTCGGAATTTAGGTCCATTGAGTTATTTTCTTGGGGTCGAGGTTCGTCGTACTTCCAAGGGTTTGCTTCTCTCTCAGCGCAAGTATGTCACTGATTTACTACGACTTGCGAATATGCATACTTGCAAACCTATTTCCACTCCTTTGCAGGCTAATGTTGTCTTGTCCCGTTTGGATGGTACTCTGTTGTCTCCTGATGATGCGACTACTTATCGCCGGCTGTGTGGCAGTCTGCAGTAAACCACTCTTACTCGTCCAGATATCTCCTTTGCGGTTAATAAGCTTTGTCAGTTCATGCATCAGCCTCGCACTTCTCACTTTTAGGCTCTCAAACGGGTTCTTCGCTATCTTCGTGGTACCGTTGATTTCTGTTTAGTTCTGCATCCTACAGATTTAGACACTCTTACTGCCTTTAGTGATGCTGACTGTGCTGGATGTCCGGATGATCGTCGTTCTACTACTGGTTTTCTCATTTATTTGGGACCTAATCTCATTGCCTGGGCATCTCGGAAGCAGCCCACTGTGGCTCGATCGTCTACTGAGGCTGAGTTTCGTGCGGTTGCTAATGTCTATGTTGAACTGCATTGTGTGTGTGTCATCTGTTGTCTGAGTTAGGCGTTTCTTTATATCGTCCTCCCTCTATTTGGTGTGACAACAGTAGTGCAGTTTTCCTTGCTGTCAATCCTGTGTTCCATGCTCGTACCAAACATGTTGAGGTTGATTTTCACTTTGTTCGAGATCATGTTCGGCGAAAGTTTGTTTCGGTCAAGTCTATCTCTGCTGCTGATCAGCTTGCTGATATTCTGACAAAACCCTTGTCCAAAGAATTATTCTTTCGATTCCGGGACAAACTTCGGCTTCTCTCTTCTCCGTTGTAAGTTTAGGGGGGCGTATTATAATATTTAGTATATTTCCTATAATATTCTTGTTTAGGGTTTGTTATTGTCTATATATAATCTGTATATTGTACATAACATTATCATGAATCCAATACAATTTCCCTATTCTAAGTCTGAAAATCTTTTGACTGGATAGGCGGTCGACAATTTTAAGTGCAAGGAAGAATTTACTAAAACTTTTATGCTTTTTTCTCTTTTATGCATGACAGAAGTACACACAACTACGCACATATTTCAACCTAAATTAATTAATTAGTATACATAAAGAAATTATTCCCCCCAAAAAAAAGAGTGTATACATGAAGCACAATGGTTGCGCGTTATACGTATTGTTTAGCTATATCCATGATCAGTTTAAACAATTTTAATCAGTCAATTAATAATAGGAGTGAAAAACAAGGCCTTCACATAATTATCTACGCTAGAAAAGTAGGTGTCTTCTTCGTGTTGGTACACAACTTGGGAAGCTCTGGCCATGTTGAAAGCAGCTTTGATGATGGCAAGAGGCATTGCGTTTCGTGAAACCAGCTCTGAATTCAGGTCTTTCCATAAGTTGTTTATAAGCTTCATTATGCCTTTTCGGCCTCCTTCTTCACATGTTATGTTGTTCTCCTTCATGAACAAATGTATGCTCGATGCTAGGTCCCCCCTTTCTTGCTCCTCCTATTTTAAGATTTTGTCACAAAATAAAATCAAGGTTATGAATTAGTCATTGTTGAATGCCTTATTTACTTGGGTTTTTCTCCTTTTAAAACATGCTAACGATCTCATGTTAACAATTCACTTTGTTGACAAAAAAAGAGTTTATTTGTAATCATTTTATTTTGTGTGCAATAATTTTGGCTTGTTGATTTTTTATAGTAACCGGCCTTATGTTATTCATTCATTGGTATGACAATGAAAACGTCTAAATAACTTGATCAATGAAATGTCACTATGCTATAATAATCACTATGCATATCGTTGCTGTTTTTGTAAGATTAATTGTTTTTTTTTTTTTACCTTAGCAGTTCCCAAATCATCCCAAAGTCGAAGAATTCGTCCCGAGCAAGAGAAGAGCTTTGGATATGGATCCATTAATAATTTCACACTTTCCTGTGTAACACCTTGACCTATGAGGAAGAACAGATGCACCAATGCCATGTAAGCTCCTGCTGTTGTAACTCCATTTTCTACATATTCCTCCAAATTGGGGGTTTCTCCATCGTTGAACCACCTAGCTTCTAGCATAAATCCCTCAATCATATCTATCCACTGCGATTTCAATAGAGATTAGTTAGGGGGGGAAAAAAATCCAACAAAAGAGTTTAGAACTAGACTATTATTTTCGAGCAAAAAACTAGTTTTTCGAGTGGACTACTATTATCGGACGATTGAATTACTATTATCTCCACGTAGCCAAATTTTCAAGGTTGAAACTTAAGTCAAGATTATTACCGTTGACTTTAGGTAAGGGAGGACACTCCATCCATTTTCCTTGAGGATCTTGTAGCAAATTTCATTAGTAGTGTTATATAATGCCATGTAACATATTTTCATGTACTCTGGAAGCTCTTCCATTGCCTCAAGATCCCACCTAAAAACAAGAATAAATAAATTAGAGAACCATCCCATTCTAAATTCGTTAAAAATCACCCTAAAAATTATTTTTAAAATAATATAAAAATTAATGATAAATTTGAAAAATTAATTGAAATGAATCACACGTACTTTCTAATTGCATTGGTGAAGAGAACGAGCTCATCCATGGGGCCATCATGAGTGTCAAAAATGTCATCAATCACCAATAAAATTGCTATGGTCTTAGCTAATTCAATTCTGCAGGCAGAATATTTGGGCTCTGGTAGCAAGCCCACGGTCCACAAGAAGCATTCCAGTGGTCGATCTCGAGCAAATGTAAGCTTCTCAACAAGGCCCAATTCTTTCCACCACCTGATACATATTACTCCGATTATAAGTATATAAATAGGTCACTTTTTTAAATTGTGATAGTTTCAAATGAATTACATATATATAGATATCGGGCTGTGTGTGTGTGTGTGTGTGTGTATTTTGAAGGAAAAAAAATTTAAATGGTGAAATGTCGAAATCCTTACCGTGTTATCTCGGATAATTCCATTTGGTGCAGGGATTGGACTTTGTTATAGTCCAATTTGGCTAATTCCAAGAGATCAGGGTTATGACCATTTTCCTTGCTATATTCTTCAATAAACCTTCTGGCTTCCAGCCTCACCATCCTTCTATGCCTTGGAAGCTCTAAGGCTTGAGATACCTTTGTTGCAAGTTGGGCTTCCAAGCTAGGCAGTGAGCTTCTTAATTGGGCCTCACTAAACTCCATTGCTTCAAATAAAATGTCTTCTCCATTTGCACCTAAGTATGAGGCCTCGTACAAGCTCAACAAGCCCATTATGTCTCCTTTAAGAGAATCTTCGAATTTTCCATTTTCATTCAAGAATTTACAGAAAATATCTGAATTTTCAGAGATAAATGAATTAATATAAACCCATACAACAAACAAACAACAAAGAAAGTTACGATGCTCAAAGGATAAGTTAAATTAATCCCTCATTTAAAAAACAATCACTTCCTCTGTGCGTTAACAAAAATCAAATTTGGAAAACAAACGTCTAATTTGTTAATCATCAGTCGTCTATACTTATATTTTAATAGTAAGTAATATATAATTATGTAAATACAACTACAAATTACATACAACTATTAGTATCAAGCGGTAAAAAAAAAATGCATGGTCTTATACTCCCTCTGTCCTAAAAAGTATTATCAAGTTTAAATTTTTAATTTTAGTTCATATTTATACTAAAAATGAAAATTTAAACTAATAATTTAGGGATGGGGTAACAAAGTAGATTAAAATACCGGGAGTTATTTGATGTCCATTGTGTCGAAGCAATCGGAACCTGAGCCCAGCCGTCATGAGATCTTCATCATCGTACACCTTTGACGAAACCTCGGATAATATGATATTTATTTCTTCTTCAAAATGGTAAGCCAATCCCAGACGTTGAATTGTATCCATCATTTGTAAGGCCTCTAAAGGTTTTGAAATTGACCTCATCAATTCCCTTCTTGTAATTTCCAGCAATTCCTTCCTCATTGTTCCATCGTCAACTTCATGTGGGAGCACCTGAAATGGTTGTTTTTTTTTTCCCCCATATTAACAAACCAGAAATGGTTATGAGAACCCAAAAAAAGAAGAAAAATCACTAACCTACCATTCTTACTCTTTGACAATGTCATATATATTTACTAGTAACTTACTATTTCATACCTTATTGAAAAAAACCTTCCAGTTATGTAATTTTTTTGACTTCATAAATCACATACTATCTAACTTCTAATTGAGCCAACTTCTCCGTTAAAATGCTCTGATTCACACACATGGTACGTATGTCGGTATGTGTTTTATTCAAAATAGAGTTCGACCAACTTATAAACACATTAAAAATAAAACATTTAAATTTTGTTACGGTGAAACAAAACACGAAAAAAGCGAGATAGATGATTATAAACACAAACCAGGGGTTGATGCAGATACTTTAAAAGAGACTCATTGTCCCTTATTATCAACGGAGCTGCCATGGGTAGCGTCGAAGAAGAGGTGGTTTGTGATGGTGATGGCATGCACATACAAATAGTATTACTACTATTATTACTGTTATTGTTACGAGATATTCCTCTAAAACTCGATCGCTTGCTAATTTGCCAAGAGGAACAAGCAGAAGAAACCCTTCCCCCAAGAGGAAAATACAAAGCTTTTGATGATGATGATGACCACGGTTTTGAAAGAACTAAATTAGCGATGTTGGTTGAGGATGCCATTTTTCTTTTTGGTACGTTGAAATGAAGGGAGAGAAGAGACTACTAATCGTCTTTTTTAAGTTTCTGCTTCACTTTGGCCAAATGATTTATATAGAAGTAGGATGGAATAAAATGGTTGACTGCAATAATGGAGTTGGATTAAAAAATTGTAACGCATGCCACACGGGCCGAGTCCTGACCCCTTTTTCTTTTTTTTCCAGCCCTCCTAAATATTTTCATTAGCTAAATGATTAAAAGCAGTCATTTTACTTGGACATTATGATCCTAATAATTCAGTTTTATCTTTTATGGTGGAGCAATAAGGAAAATAAGGATAAAAGGGAATGATCGAATGGAAGAAATTGTTAATACTAATACTTCTTCCGCTCCCATAATTATTGTCCAGTTTTACTAAAATGAAAGATTTTATTTTTGGTCAAACTTAACTATATTTTACCTTAAACAACCGGATATACCCCTACATAAGTAATTGTTTAACCACTTAGATTTTATGGATAATATTTTTTACTAAGGACAAATGTGTAACTTGATCCATAAAAAGTCAAATTGGACAATACTTTTGGGACAAAATTTTTTGGGCAAAGTGGACAATAATTATGGGACGGAGGGAGTAAGTTATAAAAAGATTGTAGATGACTTTTTCAGGTATAATTAAAGGGAGTATTTATATATTATTACATGTTTGTCACTTTAAATAAATAAATTAAAATAGAGGTAACATTAATCCTGGAACGTCCCAAAAAAAATCACTTATAAATTTTGGTTACCTCAAAATGAATAGTTATATTTTCTTGGGTGCAAGAATCGAGAGTCCTCTCGTCAAGTCAGGTCGGGAAAAAATAAAAATAAAAATACTGTACTTTTAAATGTAGAAAATGAGATAAGATTTTTGTTGGACAAAGTTTGTCATTTAGTCTATTCCACATTATAACAGCGTATTATTAGTTGGATTATGGGAGCTGAAGTAATTTGATGAATTAATCTAGAGATACATGGCTATAACTTGTTAAGTTCATGCATCCAAACTATTATGCGCACTAATTGTTTGAATCAGTTGTATTTTTAATTTTTTTTAATCAATTAACTGAGATTGTATTATCCAATAATCTTCTTAGATGAACAAAGACTAGTCATGTAAAATTTTATTAGTATAACAAGCGACGTTATTATAATATATTAATTAATTACTCCTTCCGTCCCAAAAAATTGTCCAGATAGAATTTAAAGTTTTGTACTATTTTTAATACAAATTTAAAAACTCGATGTGAACTATTTTTGTGGGACGAAAGTAGCTACTTGATCAGAAGAAACGGCTTCTTGAACGTTGAATGGGAGTTTGGCGGCGAATTTGGGAACGCTTTGACTTATCTCTAATACTAATACTACAATTCCATAATTGTTGTGATCTTTAACATTTAATGTTGTTGTCTGCATAATTGAGAGGATCAAATTCATGCAATTTGGCTGACTTGTTGCATCTATAAATTGATATTGACCGCCTGCATTGATTCCCCTGTTGAACGTCGACAATGTTTGTAAAATTTATTGAAACCGCTGTCAGTCTTGTTCATCCTATCCCAAAACGCCAACTTGACGAGCTGGCTGCTTCTGAGGACCAAAGTTAGCGATAATTGGAAAAGTAAAAGATTAGTCAATTCATTTCCCATATAAGAAGATTACTCAATTCATATTGCAGATGCAGAACACTTTACTATTACAAAAATCATTATAATTCCTGAGTTTTAGTGTAATACATTTGTTACGATAATCTTAATTCCTAATATGGCGGTATTAAATATATTCAACAATAGAGAAAATGATTTGTCAGAGACCTTCTAATTAAGAGGAATCTTGTTAAACCACCATTGATATCCTACCACTTAGTTGATAATTACTTAAACGGGATTTATTTATTTCTTTGTTTGGATATTAGTATTAATGAACAAATGTGCAATAATATTATTTAAAAAGTAAATAATGATACGTACAAGAGAAAAAATACAAAAAAAAATAATAAGGAATTGGTCATAATTTATAACCATTCGTTTTAACATTTTTATTTGAGGTTCAAACATTTAAGATTAGGATATAATTTAGATGATTGAAAAATCATTTCTTGTAAGTTTTCTTTGTAATTTTTCCTTCTACTTATCACTATTCTTAAAAAATACTGTAATAGAAATGGTAGATTCTTTGGGTAGATGGAATCATGGAAATTTGGTGGGTTCAAGTATTTCGTATGCATTGCACCTCTGTGACGTACAATGCTTACTATAACTGTACCGTCTCATTTCCTTAATGTTGTCTAAAAAACTTCCAAAAAGAATAGAATGGTGACTTATATCTGGAGCACGCTCCATTTCATTCTTACACCAGGCCCAGATGAATAAAAGCTGCCACTAATTTCACATATCTGTTACACCCTTCAGCCCATTAATTTAGCCCTAACTGCGTTTCACATTGGATCATAGCTACATATTATAAGTGCTGATGATCCAAGAAGGTAGTGAGTTGATTCCCTGGGAGCATCAAAAGCACATGCTATAAGATTTTGGGCGCCCGATATTTTTAGTCCCTAAAGTATTTTTCGGTTCAATTTTCATTTTCAATATTTTTCACGTGATAAAATTAGTCCTAATAGAAAAATTGGTCCTATTGGTCAGATTCGGTCACTATTCCGGTTAAATATGATTTTTAAATTATAATTTTTTCCCCAAACTTTGTAATTTTATCAATTTTACAACAATTTTTTTTAAAAATTTCAGTTGAACCAAATTTTAATTTTAGCATATCACTTTTTTAATTTTACACAATTTACTTTTATATTTTCCAATCAAATCTTACTATACCAAAATGTAAAATTTATCACATTGTTTACCCTATTCTCTATCACGTTTACCATGAAAACACTAAAATATATTTTAAAATATTTATTTATTTTACCCCCATCATTTTTTTCTTGGCCGGGCCTATTACTAAATCAACTCTCAATTGTCATTATTTTATCTCAAAAAATTCTAAAATTAATGAAATAATAATATAAAAAATTAAATATCTATAAAACAAATTTAATACAAAATATTAAATTAATAAAATATAAACTATCGTAAAATTCAAAAAAAAATGCAAAATCAGAGTTTTTTTTCCCCTGTTTTGTCAAATTATTTCTTCCCGATGAATCATTGTCATCTTTTTTACTCTTTAGTTTATATTTTTCACCTCATAAAAATAAGAACCCTATTTGATTTACCATATGTGTTTTTTTACGTCAATAAAAAAATCAAAACAAAAAAAAAAAAATTCTCTATCAAATATCCTCACTGTTTTAATTTTTTTTTTGACATAATAAATGTAGATAAGATAAACTAAAATAGGGTTCGGAAAATTTTTGTCAGGTAAAAAGGTCAAATGAGAAATTAAAAAGATGAATATTCAGAAATACAAATTTTTTTAATATGAAAAGGGAGCAATGATACAGATAGTGAAAAATTATAGAGAATTTGGATAGTGACAAATGAAAAGACAAATACACCAGACATCACTAAACATGTCTAGTTATTAATCAAGGGTAAAAATATAAATTTGGAGAAAAAATAAACTTTCAACGGGAAAGTGACAAAAAACTAGGGGTCATGATTACTCCACATTAGTCACTATATGTTGTCGCTATTTTTATTCACTATATATATCATTTTCCTATGAGAAGGTGGTTAGTCGAGTAAAAATAAAGCGTTACAGTGAAAAACATAAAAAAATTTGAACAAATTTTTTTGAATGTAAAATTTATTTAATATAATATTATTTATTAAAATTTATTTTAATATTCTAGACCCTTTTTTTTAAGTTACATTATTATTTTATTAATTTTTTGATTTTATGAGTAAAATGATAAAAAAAGATGATAATTAGTTTACTACTAGGCTAGAGGAATAAAAAAAATCATATAAAAACATGACATATAAAATATGCTATCCAATTCTATCTATCTTCAATTCCATCTTACTTCTAAAAATATAAAATTATTACATTATGTACCCTATTCTCCCTCATTTTTATCACCACACAGAGAGAGAGAGAGAGAGAGAGAGAGAGAGAGAGAGAGAGAGAGAGAGAGAGAGAGAGAGAGAGAGAGAGAGAATAAAGTAAACAATGTAGGACATTTTACATTTTTGAATAAAAAGATTTGATTTGTATAGATAAAAGTAAATAGATTAAAACAAAAAAAGGGATGTGCTCAAGTTAAAATTGAGTTAAGTTGGAAATTTTTTTTAAAAATGGGGTGAAATCGATAAAATTATAAAATATTGGGAAAAATCTTTGAGTTAAATTGGAATTTTTTTAAAAAAATGGGGTGCAATCGATAAAATTATAAAATTTTGGGAAAAATATGTAATTAAAAATTATATTTCGCCGGAATAGTGACCGGATCCGGCCAATAGGACTAATTTTGAAAAAAAAAACTATTTGGACTAATTTTATCACGTGAAAAATATTAGGGACGAAAATTGAATTGAAAAATACTTTAGAGATTAAAAAGATCAGGCGGCCTAAAATTTTTCCATCTTAAAATAATTATTGTTGTACATAAGATGTTTAATATTAGGTCTGATATGAAAGAATGCAAGTTCAACAGTTAACTGAATACGTCCTGCGACTGGTGCGTGGCGGGTGATAGAGAGGGGAATTCAGTTGTAATATATAACCTGTATATAAAATGAACGATTAGAGAGTAGAGATAGATGTTAGTGACGGTTAATTTTGATAGGTCTTGTACACTATTAAATGGTACATGTAATCATGATGTATCTTCTGTGGTTTAGTAATATTGTCCTTCCAATATGTATTTTACTGGACAATGTATTCTGAAAAAAATAATCTACATTATAAATTATAAATTATAAATTGTGCTCTTATCGTTCTCAAATTATTGTCTAGTTTGATTTTTTATTTTTTATTCAAATTGTACCAAAAGTAAAAATTAAAATTAGATAATAATTTTGGAATAAAGGAAATATAATTTTTACAGGACGAAAAGAGTATTAAATATTCT